GTACCTGATCTGCAATTTACCGATGACCAATAGAAACTTGAGGGAAAATCAGTAAATGCCAAATCTCCAACAAATGATCGTTATTAAATTGCTATCTTGCAACTGGGTTTATATTCGATATTAACTACGTAATTACATTCTTTTTGTTATTTAAGGCTATGTAGTGTTTGCTAAATAAGTTAACTAATAATAATATATTATTACACACACAAAAATGTCTTTCATTTCTGGACTTACTTATGCAGTAGTTATCTTCGTTAGTCTTCCAACAATCCTCGTTTCTGTGTGGTTGTTTATGGTAAGCAAATTTAGTGTGTCTTCTCAAGATGCAAAATAACCAAACTTTTAAATTCTAGGTCCTTTGCATTACCGGCATTATTTTTTTCATTTTTGGCATCATTCTTTTCATTATTGGATCTTTTTCCATTGTTGAAAGTTGCGTTATTTTGGTCTAAAAAATGTATGTAATTTAGGCATTTGATTTAATCACCGATAAAAGATTGTTAACATTTTCTTATTTATAATAGTTTTGGATCATGCCTACTATTAAACTTAATTGCCTTATTTATGGTGATACTCCTGATGTTGTTAATATTTTTTTAGTTGAAATAGATATCGAAGCAACTGTTAGCAGGCTTCAAGAGATTATTAAAGGAAAAAACAAGACATTGTCTATTTTAATAATATAAAGTTTAAATTACAGAATGTTAATGAATCAAATGAGAAATTGAATATTCTCTTTGACGACTCTAATACAAATATTAAGAAAAAACTTGAAGGAAAGATATTAGCTGAAATGGATAAGATTTTCAAATATTTTCCTCACAAATTGAACAAAAACTATATACATATTATCATTGAATTGCCAGGTTATCACCTCACTTTTAAATCTTATACAAAAAGAAAAGAACTTGTTCCTATAGATAAGATTATTTTCAAAGGAGATTCCTTCGAGCTAGAAAGTGAAATTGTCTGCACTGATATAGGAATTCAAATCAAATTTATCAATAAATCAAAAGAACTTTTGCTAGATTCATTTTCTAAATTCATTGAAGCAGTGAAAGAAGTTTGTGAATTAGATTCTGAAAAAGAGATCAATGTTATAGGCCAATTCACAATGCAAAATTTAATAGTAAGTGAATACCTTTCAGTTTAGTACTGTAATGTATTCTGATTAATTAATTTTTGCTAGTTTCACTTGCATGTATCAGATGAACGATTATTTTGAATTGATTTTCATAAATGGGTACTTAGACAACGAAAGCACTATAAAGGTTTAGAAGGTGTATAAACATTCTCTTCTTCACAAATATAGTTAAAATCAAAATTGAAGTTCAGAACAAATCATTTCTTTCTTTCTTTTATTTTTTTTTTAAAAAAATACAATTTACAGATAATATGGAATGACTTGGCAATCGAAAAGTTCTCCTACTCAAAAATGAAGTAAATTTTCAAAAACTTATTTCTGCTAAGAGAGCTTATAGGAAGGAATTTAGAAGAGATGAAATATTAGCAATAATTTTTGGGCTGGTTGATGAAAGAGAAGTTATTGTTGTTACTTTAAATCTACCGGAGGGTCATCATTGCATTTTTCTTTACCATCTGTATTTGATGGTTTTCCTGTAATTATCAACTATGAAACAGTCATACCATTTTACCAATCTTATAATGAAAAACTTATGCCTGGTATTAGTATTTGGTGTTTAGAAAATCTACCAAATGCATGTATACTAGGCCTATTAGTTTAGAAAAAATCACAACTTGAAGGTCAGAAGCCTGAAGAGGTTTTTATTCTTAACACAAAACATGATGTCGAAAAAAAAGGTTCTCCAATATACCAACCAGAGAGATTTGATAATGTAAATATACATTTGTTGATCAAACTTTCTGTATTTACTTGTTGATATCCCTTTTTTTGATAAGATTTCTTCTAAGGGTTGTGTCACAGTCACAAAATACTGTTCATTAAGTACAGATAATAGTGAACACCTACTCGATTATGTCTTTTCCCAAATCAGCAATAAAAATAGTGTGCCAGAAAATCCAAACAGATTATATGAAACTAATATAACTGTTTCTGGTTTTAATACTTCTTTGAGTGGCAATTCAAATAATATAATTAAAGTTAGTAAGGTTGGTAGGAGTATATTTTTCATGGAAAGGAAAATGGAAGATCAGTGGGATGAAATTATATCTTCAGTTTTCGATCCTCCAAGAAAAATTTTTGCTTTACCAGTATATGGCATTAACGGACAACCATTTAGTAAGTTTATTAGAATATTTGATTTAATTTTATTTACTATTGCTATTAATTTGCAACATAGGTGCTCTGGGAGATTCAGATTCTCCAGTTGTTAACAAAGACAATCAAGTTGTAGGAATTCTTCATGGAGGAGTTAATGGTGAATCAGATGCTTATATAATCTCCATCCACATAATTAAAGAGCATGTTAAAAAATCTCATAAAGTAGAATTTAAATTAATATGAAATGTCAATATATCGAGATTTATGTTATAAAATAGTTATTTTTTCAGATGATGGGTTAACAAATATGTAATTTCATAAAAAATACACATACATAATATAAATACTATTGGAAAAGCTAAACAATAAGTGCTCACCATTCCTTCAAATAATTATTAACCATGTTGATTTAGAATGGTTTGATTTGTGTTGGTAAATTATAACCATACTGCGCAAAAGTGTTTCAAGGATATTTTTGTAGAATGCTGTTAGCACTCATAGATGGAACAATATATTTTTCTTGTTATCTAGCATGATGTGATGGATACACTGACAGAATCATATTATTGCTCAAATAAACTCTTTGATTAATAATAAGCATTGATAATTCTAATATTTTGATTCAACTCTTTCTTTAATACTTCAATATCACACAAAATGGTTACGGGAAGATGACAGATATGACATACTCAATTATGAGTCGAAGACTTTTCTTGAAATTTTTCATATGATTAAAATGAATAAACGGAACTAGAAAAAATTTAAAGATAAAATATCTATACTTCTTATATATGATAATTGAAAAAATATCCAGCCATTAAGCCATACAACATATGGGATTCTTACAAATTCAAAAAGTGCTACAAAAACAATTCTAAAATTTATGTTGATATTTATTTGGCTATGCAAAGTTGTTTTTTCATTTTGCATTACTCACCGGCTCATTTTTTCAATTTCTCAATTTTTTTGTTTCATAAATTACTCTGATATCACTGAACTAATGGAAAGATTGGACTTCCAACCCAATTACTAATTCCATATTATACAAAGTGAAACACTAACTTTTAGGATCTTAGACATAAGCATAAGTCTATTAATTTACTATATATCAAAAAAAAAAAATCTGACCAACCGAGAATTTTGAAATCTATGGAATGCAAAACAAAAAATTAACTGTAGCATTATCCTAAAATAATATAGTATTCGTTGATTTGATTTGTTTTTTTTTTATATTCAAGCATAATTATGGCTAGTGTTATAATTGAAAATTGAAAATTTTATTAATTGATTGGCAATTAATCGATTGGATATTTTTTTTCTACTTTGGTAGTCTTTCCAGTGATCCTTTATTAAAATTATTTTGTTGCAGGTTGTACAAAATGTTGAGCTTAATATTTAGGCCTGACATCCTACAGTTACTTCTAAGAACACTTACAAGTGACCTGCTACACTAGGAAGATATATCTACAAGAGATATATCACAGTAAATTCAAAGACCACTATTCTAGAAAGCCATGTCAGACCACTGTCCTACAATAGGATACTTCCAATCTGATGACATCTTTTCATAAAAAAGTAAAAAAAAACAAAAAAATATTAACACTAATATTAATACTAAAAAAGGGAAAGGGAATGATGAAAAAAAAAGAATCTGATAATTACAGTTATAAGCCTGTGTTGAGCTAACAAAAATTACATATTACAAGATAAAGAAGCTTTGTATCTAACTCTATCCTAATAATTATATCTATCTGATTACAAAAAAATAAAATTAACAGATTTAAATTAAACTAGCTTAAGCAGACAGAGTAGTTAGAAGACACCAATAGTTTTAAAGTATTTTAAATAGTTTCTTTTGGTCGAGACATATTTTCTATTTGTATTGTTCTTTAGACATACTCAGTTTCTTAATCCGGTATCTATTGATTTTGTGTTTACTAAAAGTAAACAACCTGTTTCAAAAGTAAATAATATGACTGTTTTGGAAAAGTATGTATTAATCTTTTGAAGGGGACATCCACTTTTTGACAAAATTTTCTCAAAAAAAGTGGTGGGCCAATAAAACTTTATAGGTTCTTTCTTGTAAGTTTTACAGTTGTATAGAGACTGTCTTCAGTTTTTTAATATGCTTATATTGATCTAGTTGTTCTGTATTTCCAGAATAACCTTCTGGTTTAGATGTCAAATATAATAGAGGAGTCCACTAAAAAGAAAGCTTGACCTCTACAAAACCAGTCCAAAGTAGTTTGTGTCTCAGTTTTATACTTTTGGTACTCTATCAACAACACACCTATTTACATAGGTCCAGACATGACCAGGGCGGCCATCGAAATTGCGGGTCGCGTGATAAATGCCACTGCCGCAGCTGCAGGTGGTCCGATGATCCTTTGGACAGACCAATGAGGACCTTCAACGTTATCATATGACACAATTATGCAATAACGTTGATTATCATTATCAAGTCTTTAATAACGAAAGCATTGACTTCTCTTTGCGTTCTTTTGTATAATTGTATAATTAATAAAATTTAA